GTGTCTGCGTGGGTTTCCTCCGGGTACTCCGGTTTCCTCCCGCAGTCCAAAGACATGCGGTCAGGCTGATTGGACATGCTAAATTGCCCCTAGGTGTGAGTGAGTGTGTGAATGTGTATGTCTGTCTGTCTGCCCTGCGATGGACTGGCGACCTGTCCAGGGTGTATCCTGCCTTCCGCCCAATGACAGCTGGGATAGGCTCCAGCACCCCACCGCGACCCAGAAGGATAAGCGGTTTAGATGATGGATGGATGGATGGATAATATTGTAAACCTTGATATATTGTGCTCTGAAAAAGTATTTGCCCCCATCTGATTTCTTCTATCTTTGTCACATTTTAGCGTTTCAGATCATCCATCTAGTTTTAAATTTTACTTAAAGATAAAGGTAATACAGGTAAACACAAAATGCAGCATTAAAATGATCATTTCATATATTGAAGGTAAAGATTTATTCAAAACCTATATCACCCATGTGAAAAAATAATTGCCCCGCTAAACCTAAGAGCTGGTTGTTTCTCTCTAAGAGAGGGTTTTCAAGTATGAACTTCCCACCACAGCATCTCAGTGTCAGGACTTTGACTCGGCCACTCCTAAACCTTAATTTTGTTTTTATGAGCCATTCAGAGGTGGACTTGCTTGTGTGCTTCGGATCACTGTCCTGCTGCATAACCCAACTGTGCTTGAGCTTTAGGTCTCAAAGTGATGGGTGGACATTCTCCTTCAGGATTTTCTGATAGAGAGCAGAATTTGTGGTTCCATCAATTATGACAAGTCGTCCAGGTCCTGCAGAAGCAAAGCAGCCCCAGACACTACTACCACCATGTTTGACTGTCGGTATGATGTTCTTATGGTGGAATGCGGTGTCAGCTTTATGCCAGATGTAACGGGACCCATGTCTTCCAAAAAGTTCCACCTTAGACTAATCACTCCACAGAATAATATCCCAAAAGTCTTGGGGATTATCTAGATTTTTTTTGGCAAATGCGAGACAAACCTTTGTGTTCTTTTTGATCAAAAGTGTTTTGCGCCTTGCAGATCTTTCATGGATGCCATTTTTGCCCAGAGTTTTTCTTGTTGTGGAATTGTGTACACTGACCTTAACTGAGGCAAGTGAGGCCTGCAGTTCTTTAGATATCTGTCTGGGTTCTTTTGTGACTACCTGAATGAGTTGTTGATGCGCTCTTGGTGAAGTTTTGGTAGTCTAGCCACTCCTGGGAAGGTTCACCACTGTTCCAAGTTTTCTCCATTTGTGGATAATGGCTCTTACTGCAGTTCACTGGAGTTCCAGAGCCTTAGCAGTGGCTTTGTAACCCTTTCCATACTGGTAGATTTCGGTGACTTTGTTTTGTATTTGAATCTCTTTAGGGCATGGCATTATGTGCTGCTTTTTGAAACCTTCTAGCCTGCTTCACATTTCCAGACAGGTCTTATTTAAATAATGTTTAGATTCAACGGGTCTGGCAGTAATCATGCCTGGGTGTGGCTAGAGAAACTGAACCCAATAGTCAATTGAATTTGGTTAACTGGTTGATTTAGTAGTTAAGGGGGCAGTTATTTTTTCACATAGGGCCAGGAAGGGCTGAACAACATTTTTCCTTCAATAAATGAAATCATCATTTAAAAGCAGGATTTTATGTTTTCTCGGGTATCTTTGTCTAATATTAAAAATGGTTTTAATGATCTAGAACATTCAAGTGTGGCAAATGTGCAAAAATAGAAGAAATTGGGAAGGGGGCAAATACTTTTTCATAGCGCTGTAATGTTAGGTAATTATCATGATAAACGTTTTTTTACCAGCACATGCCTAGCCAACAGACACACACTCATACTACAGTACAGTAAGACACAACTATTTCTAACATGGTTGATTCTTATTTGTTAGCGTAATATATTTAGAGATAATGAAATGGGAGCATAGTTATCACACTAATGAACAGGATTTCATTTAAAGAGCAAAACCAAAGTAGTAAATGTTTGTGTATGTGTGCATAAAGATAGAACAGATGTACAGGAGCTCTGTGACTCAGGCTAGCGCTGGGGGATATGACCTATTTTAATTTTACTTGAATGAGAGCACCATCTAGACTCAAATGCTACTATTACATATCTTGTGGTAAAAATAGCCTCGTTCTGTACAACAACTTTAATATGTGTAGAATAATAGACTCTTTAAACAAATCTGTGTTTGAGGTAGCGTCAGCAGCAAAAATAATAGGGGCAAAGGGTTAAAATGCCCACATAATTAACACAAGAACACGGAATAACATGCACCACAGAATAAAATGTTCTAAATGTAATAAACCTTTGTGAAAGAATTACATTATTGCTCTAATAAAACAGTCATATTAGTCACATTCATTGTCAGATTAAAAAGAGCTGCTTCATTATGCAAGAATCTTCTTTACATTTTTCATTCACAATCACCAATTCTGCATTTCTTTGCCTAAATAGATGGAAAATGAAATACAAACACTGCTTAATTTGTAATTGTAATGTTACTAGTTTGTATTCTTGCTAAGTTAGCATGTTATTTTGAGTATTTTGAAAAGTGCCCGAGTCAGTTATGTATGAAATGTTGCCTAATATAAGTGAGAGAAGGCAAACTGTTAGAGCTAGGTTCTGGTCATAAATGTCAAAACTTGTCCAAAAACCAGGAAAAAACTCATCTACAATAATGCTCATTCCTGCTAGAACTCCTGTGGAATCCAAGAAGTATGTTAGCATTTAGCTAACTGCAACTCACATACACAATATTTTAGGTTAAACACAGACATTTAAAGCTTGTAAAGAACATTGTGTGCTTTATTTGAATCCTGTTACGGACATTAACTTATATTTTACCTTGTAGCAGTCCTGGCATAGAGCTGCTGCTGTTTTCCATTTCTAACAAATAACGGAAACCTGGTTAGACTACAGCTTGTATTCCCAATCAGTGACACATCCACAACTTCCAGAAGGCCAACAGTGACGTTTTTTCTTACAAAATTGGTCCCACCCCCCACCCATTCACAACATGAGTATTTAATTCCATTGTTACCTCCTATTAATGTTAGTAGAGTAGAGTTGGGCCTGAAACATACTTCACGCAAGGATGAGAACGCAGGCGCTTCGAGCTACACAGAGGGGGGTTCATGCATAGTTGCATTGAAAAATATGTCACGATGCGAGCTGCATTCTGAGCGTTACAGCAAGGGGCGCTATGACGGCCAAGCCTGTCCATACAGTCCTGTACCACCAGCATGCTTTGTCAACTGCCATAGCAGACGAGCAGTTGAGTGTGAGTTTGTACAGAAGGACCGAGAGTTTGCAGTGCGTTGGCCGAGTGCTTTCATTTGCGTTTGCGTACATGAGTTGAGTATGTTTCTGGCCTTTCAGTTCAGTTCCAGAAGTCCTGCCAGTGGAGGAGCTTGCTTGTTTCTATCTACCTACCTGAGTGGTTTCAAGAATTTAACTCTTCTGTAAAACTTAACAATGAAGTAAGAGCGTTACTACAATTTTACAACAAGCATGAGAATTATATTAAATAAAAATGAATAAAATTACGTATTTTCTTTTAATTTCACAGAAATCATTAGGCCCTGAGAGTTCCCTGCTGATAATGTCAGTGTTAAACATTTTCTGTGTGTGTTTCACCCTTTTGCCTTTGAATGTTTTCTTTTAATGCAGAACACGTGTAGCACATTTGTGCCAACATAGCTTGTGGTTTTGCATACTGTTATGGAAATTTGCAAGTCGTACACTTTTTAAAGTGCTAAATAGTCCTTTAGTGACTAACTGAATGAGGTCTCAAGCGGAGCAGTCTTTAACATGTAACTTTCACACTGTTTTCTAACTGTGCCGTCTCCAGGCATCCCCAGAGGGTCTGGATTTACAGCTTGCTAATTAAGTATAACACAAATCTGTTTTAATGACGGTCCCGTCCTTGATGCAATTAATCACTGCGACGATCAAGTTTCCCAAAACCTAGTCCCCCAACCAGCCTGAAATTTCAACCTATTTAAGCTTCATGCATATTTGGTGTCAGTGATTTTTCTCACATATTGCTCTCTCCGTGGCTCTGAGTATGAGTAAGCTGAGCAGGCCTGTGGTTTTGTATTCTGTGGTCACTTTGGTTGTTGTCGCATTGCGAAGAGTGTAGAATCAGCAGAGTAATGATTTATTTAGGAAGGCTTGGCCACAGAGTCACTGGGTTTTGAGTTTGTTTACAGAGTATCACCCGGGAACACTTGTTGAGGGTGAAGGTCACAAGCTATTCAGACTGCCTGAGCTTCTGGCCTCCACATGCAAAGAAAGCATAATGGATGGATGGATAGTAGCTTTATGGATGGATGGGATAATCTAGTTATGGAAATCAATTAATATAAGAATAAGCTTGTGTACATTCAAACCTTGAATGCAGCTATTTTTTCAGAAAGTGCTAGAATTGGGCCAATAAACAATTGAATTGAACAAGTTTCGTCCATAGTTTCTTATAAGAAAGAAAGTTATTAGGCCCAGGTAATTAATGCCAGACAAATCCTTAAGCTGGTCTTTCATTTGAGGAAAGTCATCAATCATAAATGTGCATTCAGAGGAAGCTGTGCATTGGTGATTTGCTGTGTGCCCATTATGAGCATAGAATATCCAGCAGTAATCCAGAGGCTGAGCAGATATTGATTCACAATGACTCTATTCATGTTGAGAATGAAAGGATCGGTGGAGATGAAGGGCTCATTGAGAGAGACAAGTATTCAGAGGTGCTGCTGATTTTAATTACCAAACGGGCTCGGGGAGATTAAAGTGGAGACAGTGAAGTGGGATGTTACTTTCACATTGATTCAAAACTAATGGCTTTCAAAGCACTCAAAGCCTAGGACCGTCACCGTTCTCGGGTAATTGAGTCTGAGTTCCAAAGAAGTCAAATTTCTCATTCACTGGTACCTGGAAAGCCCAGACAGCTGCTGAATTTTTTTTTCTTTCACTGCGAGTGAAAAGATAACTTCTTGCTGTGTTCCTTAGGCTGGAGGCGACAGAGGAGAAGTTCAGGAACCGAGAGAGCAGGCCAGAAGACCTCCAGATGATCGCTGAGCTCAAGGAGATGGTGACTGAGAGGGAGACCCTGGTCAAGAAGCTGGTGGTGAGTGAGCTGATGATAGCAGCTCAGTCCAGGTTTCTGCAGGGCTTAGCCTCAGCTTGAGACATCCCACCCACAGAGTTTGGAACTGCGTGCCTTTTTTAATAACTTTTGTTATTTTACACACAATAATAACGTATACAGTGTGAATTTAAATATTATAAACTGTTCACCGAGAGGTACTTTTAGATGTTTTATTCAATATCTTGGAAATTATATGAATAAGAAATTATTAATGATGCATAATATGCTGTAATTATCTGTTTACCTTTTTTGTCAAATTATCTGCGTTGAGATTTGGTCTCCACATGTCTGGATATTACTTTAATTATAACTCAATTCTCAATGTCAGAGGTTTCCATACATTTTAGCTGCAGCTCTATTCTGTCCATTCTGGACATACCTAAAATTCCCTCATTTCATTCAGGGCTTCTGAGAGTCATACTAATTGTTTGAACTCTGTGGCATTGTGCAGCACTGACATTACAGTCATTTTGTGTCAATATTTATGACAACAACGAGGCTTACAGAGCAAGATATAGACTCTGGATAGAAAACAAGATTTTTGTGGAATCCTTTATTTAAAAGTTTTAAAAGTTTTAATGGGTTTTTCAGTCTTAACTCTGTAATTCTCTGTAATGTAATTCTGAGCCGTTGTTCTACTGTGTTTCACTTGGGTCTGTTTTTATTGTTGGACTGTTTAGACAATCACTCTATAATGGTCTGTGGTTGGTCATTTTGCATGTCAGCCAAGTCTTGTCCTGTCAAAGCCACACTGAGCAACGAAATCCTTGGCAATTATTATTTATTAATACTTGAAATCTATAATTTTACACAATTTATCAGTAATTATCATACAGATTAGCCAGTGTGGTTATTTTCCTGTGACACCCGTCACCGATATGTGAACAAGAACTGTGGGCAAGAACAAGCGGTCAGAGTCATGTTTACTTTCATGGATCTTTAGCACCTATAAACTGAGTGAGTGTGCTTGACAAAGTATTTGTCATGTCCACAATGATCTGAGATTTCCCCTGCTGTACACAGGATGACAAAAAGTTCTACCAGCTGGAGCTCGTGAACAGAGAGACCAACTTCAACAAAGTGTTTAACGCCAGCCCCAATGTCGGTGTGATTAACCCCCTCATCAAGGTAAGTTCAGCCAACTCTCTCTCCTACTGGCCGTTTGAGTTTCAGAACACACAGATAAATCATGTCAAACATATACAATATGTTTGGCATCTCATTTCATAATAAATGAAGGCATACAACGTTCTATAGTGAAGCAAAACGAAGGATTCTTAGGAACTGCTGGATCATGAACAGATATTCCCTGTGTGCTGATCTGCTGTTGGGTGGTTTGAGGAACACTCTACATAATTCTAATTGTGCCATCTACATAATTCACACTGTTCTAACTGCACCATACTTTGGTCAAGGATTAGAAACATATTCTTTTAGGGCTGTCGCTATCAGTTATATGACTAATCAAGTGATACACTGATTTTTTGGTGGTTGAGTAATCATTAATCATCCAAATAAGGCCAAACAATAAAATTGACTTAACCATGCACAGCCTTTCAAAGATTCCTAGGACTTCATTTAAAAATATATATAAAACACTATGTAGCCACAAAAGTATAGAAATTGATGTGATCAAAGACTAAGATCCATCACTGCAGATTAATAGCGAAAGCCAGATTATATGTTTTGTCTAATTTTCTCCTTTGGAGTATGAATAATTTAGTTATAACTTTTTTGTGTTGTCGAAGTTAACATGTTAATGATGTTTGTGTGCTGTATGTTGCTGTGACTCTACAACTATTGAACTCTCACTCTAATAAATGTCAAGAAATTTATTAGAGTGAGAGTTCAGTAGTTGTAGAGTGCCATTGATGGCACTCTTCATAAAAACGAAAGTTATTTCCAGCTTCTGCCAAGGTGAATTTGTTTATCTCTGAAGGTTGTTAGCATCAGAGGAAGCTATGGATAAGTAAGCAAACTGCAGAAAAAAAAACATCAAAATTGAAAGCTCCATTTAATCTTGAAGGCGTAATGTAGCGATATAAGAGCGAGAGGCTACAATTGCAGAGTAGTTTGGTACCATTGACTGTATACACCAATCAGGCATAACATTATGACCATCTCCTTGTTTCTACGCTCATTGTCCATTTTATCAGCTCCACTTACTATATAGGTGCACTTTGTAGTTCTACAATTACAGACTGAAGTCCATCTGTTTCTCTGCATACTTTGTTAGCCCCCTTTTACCCTGTTCTTCAGTGGTCAGGACCCCCATGGACCCTCACAGAGCAGGTACTATTTGGGTGGTGGATCATTCTCAGCACTGCAGTAACACTGATGTGGTAGTGGTGTGTTAGTGTGTGTTGTGCTGGTATGAGTGGATCAGACACAGCAGTGCTGCTGGAGTTTTTATACACTGTGTCCACTCACTGTCCACTCTATTAGACACTCCTACCTTGTCAGTCCACCTTGTAGTTGTAAAGTCAGAGACGATAGCTCATCTGCTGCTGCACAGTTTGTGTTGGTCATCCTCTAGTCCTTCATCAGTCGTCACAGGACGCTGTTGGCTGGATATTTTTGGTTGGTGGACTATTCTCAGTCCAGCAGTGACACTGAGGTGTTTAAGAACTCCAGCAGCACTGCTGTGTCTGATCCACTCATACCAGCGCAACACACACTAACACACCACCATCACATCAGTGTTACTGCAGTGCTGAGAATGATCCACCACCCAGATAATACCTGCTCTGTGATGGTCCATAGGGGGTCCTGACCACTGAAGAACAGGGTAAAAGGGGGCTAACAAAGTATGCAGAGAAACAGATGGACTACAGTCTGTAACTGTAGAACTACAAACTGCACCTATGTAGTAAGTGGAGCTGATAAAATGGACAATGAGCATAGAAACAAGTGGTCATAATGTTATGGCTGATCGGTGTATATAATATATATCATAAAAACACTCATTGGTTAAAATATGCAGCCACTGTTGCTCTCACTGGACATCAGTGATGAAAATTTGAAATTGATTATCAACACTAAAGAATGCTACTAATCACAATTAATTTTTTAATCGCTTGACAGCCCTAAACTTTTTAGCATGTTATATTCTTTTTTACTTCACAAACAGTTTCTAATCCCTGGCTATAGATGTACATATAAGACAGATAGTAATAATAATGGTGCAATATGTGTAGGTGCTGCTTTTCTTGGTAGTTTTTAGATCTTCCTATGATTTAGATGTCTCAGAGCCCAGCTAGAGGCTTTTACCCAGCCTCCACCTAATCAAACACTTGTTCATTCCTACTTCCTACATCAATCAGAGGCAGTGCACACAGACATGCAGGACTTGCAGGCAGATTCAGAAACAGCTGTGTGTGTATGAATAATGAGACTCATATCTACCCATGACATGCCTAAATGAGGAGCCCATCATTAGCTCTCCTGAGTTTTATCAGCATTTGGTTTCGCAAAAGCACCACAGCACTAAGATCTCCATAATGTTACTTAGAATGTCAGCTTGAACATGTTCTGTAATGGTAATCTTAGCACTGGGGTGCTTTTGGGAAAAAGAGGCTTGACTAAGGATGCACGATATATCAGCCGCTGCTTTATTATTCACAATTAGTGTTGGTATCAGTCAGATATTGGAATTGGAGCTGATAATTATAACTGGTAACTTGGCAGTCCAGTTCTGCACCTGCACACATGCAAGTAAAGTCACTAGTGGTGGGAATTTCATTTTGTAAATGTTTTTTTCATAAATCACAGTGAAATGGATAGCATTGCGGATAACACCACAGCTCCACATACTGAAGACTGAAGGTTTGCTTCCAAAATGTATCAGTGATCACTCTTCATAATTTAACCTCTATCTTTATGGATTATAGTTTAAATTTGTTTTAAAATAAAAAAAAAAACAAAGTAAAATGATCATGTATTGGTATCTGCATTGGCCATAAAAGGTTTTAGTTGTCAGTTATTGTTATCTTCCCATAACATCTATATCAGTGCACCCCTAGTCCTGACAGAGGAGGGAATTGTTTGTCCCATCTCAATGTAGTTGCAGCAACCCCAACCCAATGGGCCTGTGCGCATGAGCAGGTGGTTCACTGCTGCCCCATCTGTGTTCTAAATCCGGTCCTGCAGGCCAACGGCACAACACAGCGTAGAGTTTTCTCTGCTGCAGTACAGCTGACTCAACCTATGAAGGGCTGGATGGTAAAACTAATGAAACTAATGAGCTGAATTAAGTGTGGTCAAGCGGGTAAAACCCTAACCTGTGCAGTGCCGTGTCGCTCTGGAACCAGATTTGAGTAACACCGTTTTATAACTTCCAATATCTGTTTCAGTGTCAACGTTACATATGTGCGTATGTGTACGTTTGTATGGTTAAGTGTATGTGTCCGCGTGCGCGTGTCCCTGTTTTCTTGCTGTTTAGACATCCAGTTCTTCTTCTTTGCTTTCCAAGCCATTCTTTGTCACTTGCAAACTTTCAGTAGCCTCTTCCTTTCCGCCACATCTGTTTTGACTCATTTTGATTTGATTGGCTGAGAGCGACTGTTGCTTCCACTGCTGGGAGGTGCAAGCTTGACCATCAACACATGAGCTTAATTTGTGGATGAGAAAATAAGAAATCATAACAGAAGCTACTCTATTAACCAGAGCAGCTTTCCCACCTCCTATATATCTATATATTCTTTTTTGTTGTTTTTGTGTCCTTCTTTTGTGTAGCAAAAGCGAAAGAATGACAAATCGGCCAACCGATTCAGCAGCTCACCCAATCTAAGGGCCAATGTGGAGGCCTCGGGGACAGGGAGCGGCCAGCCCCAGCCCAGTCGCCTCGAGCCCATCCCCAACTCCCCCATTCACCAGCTGGAGCTCAACACCAGCAAACCACTGCCCCCACCGACCCCTCCCACCGAGCCCAAGAAATTCATGAGGTGAGCCACACCTCTCCACCACAGACGCCATCTCTCTCTCTCTCTTGCTCTTCCGCTCTCCACACCACAGGCCAGAGGACAAGCACACCAACACAACGAAGCCTTTCCTTATAGACCTGTCCTGAGAGTTTTTTGGGTTTGTTTTTTTCTAAGCTCAGAATTTTCTAGACGTTGCTGGTTTCAGCAGTATTCCCTTTTGTCGCTAGCATCTTTGAGATACTGGAAAGAAACCAATGTGACACTGACGGCTTGATTTTTTTGCTTCGTGATCCCAGGCTCTTCTCTGATAAACAGCGAGCGTGAAATCGTGAATTACAGATTGAAAGCACCAATCACTCGGCTCTGAAACAAGTCATTAACTTGAATAATGAATGCTTTCTCCCGGGCTTGGAGAAAGGGGTCGTGTGAGAATTCCCTCTTGATCGTTATGCTGGTAGAAGGACATGCCGCTGTTTTGTCTTTGCCTGCGTCCCTCAGAGACATTGATCACATCCTGGGAGAAACAGACTTAGCTGGGAGTGAAGAACCCACGCTGTGTTCTCCCAGGGTTCTCTTTAAATGAATGCTGTGGCGTTTCATCAGCACTTGCCCATTGGCTTCTACTATAAGTGTGTTTTCAGTGAACAGGTTCATTAAAAACAGGTGTGAAATGATTGTCTCTGGTAACCAATGAAATGCTACAGATGCAGCAGGTTGAAAATGTAAGACTTTGCCAAGTCAGTTAATCCACATTTGGTTTCTTTCCAGAGGCATAAAGGGAGATACCTATTATAATACTACTGTATACATGTATGAGTATTGTTCTTGCTATTAAGTCCCATACATGAGCTTTGGAAATGGCATTGGAATGCAAAAGGGAGCATGTGTCCCCACTGTCTGCGTGCACGCTGGGAGTTCATGTCTTTTCTTTGTCTCTGTGTTGTGGTTTGTGTTTTCCGTCTCTGTGCTGGAAGTTATACAACTCATGTAACTCTTATTAAAATGTTTTTAATGAGTACCATCATTCTGTATTGCACTTAATTCTGCACTTTTGGGTGATATGACCTGTGTACACTGAGAGGATGAAATTGTATTCAATTGTAAGATTTCATTTCCCACCATCCTCTGTATTGTATGTAAGTGTATGTGGCCATGTGAATTGCTTTGCATTTTGCCAACCTGTTTCTAAACCTTGTCCATTTTCTTAAATAAACCTCTGCCTTTGACTGGGTTTTGTGCTGCTCGGCATGTTGTGGGCCGTGTGTGAGTGTTGTGCATGCAAGGCTGTGCTTAGCGGATGCTGCTGCTCCACTCGTTCCTGGAAGTGCCTTTGCGTCTGGGGAGCTGCTATGTATTTCCGCTTGCATGCCGTCCTGAATGTGAATGAGCTGATGGTGAGGCGGCGAGACGGACTTGCGCAGGGCTGCCATCCATTGCCATGGGACTTGCCCATCTCTCCACCACACACACTCACAGCCTGGCTGGGTCACGTTGGGACAAGGTGACCTCACCTCCACACAGCAACAGGACTGCACTAGGACAAGCCTGCATCTGCAAATGAACATACTAAAACTCCACTAATGCCTTACTCCAGCAGTTCCCAAGCCACGACCCCTAAACTGTACATTTTGTTCTGTCTCAGCTCCCAACAGACCAGACATTATCAGAAGAAACAGTTCACTGATTGAAACGTGACCGGGATATCACTTTAAAAGTCTCTCCTTTTTTAGAGCCAATCACCTTGTTGGTAAAGGTGTAGTCTCAGCCTCAAACGCTCTGCCCACAAGTACGCAAAGCGCTGCCCACAACTATCCAGATTTTGCCAGTTGCATTCTTATTGACTTCATCAGTCTGACATCAAGCTTTGTGCACCCTGACCGAACCTTTATGAGGAAGATATAGTCGCTGGGTTGTTCACAACATAACATATTTAAAAGTTATTCAGGAGTTTTCTGTGAAGTATTTAGTAGCTTTTAGCGAGATATCCTCACGTATTTGCCAACACACAAACCAAAACATGTGGCTTTGTTTTGGTTGTATCCTCATTTTGGGAATCACCAGCCCCTACACATCATGCTAAACAACGGTCTGTAATTGCTTACTTTGCAAGTCAGCCAAACAGCCCTTTTTTTCTCAAAGTAGGTGATTCTTGGCCACACTCTTAAAAAAGATGGTTCTTCAAGGGTTCTTTGGGAAAGAAAATGGTTCTATATAGAACTTTTGCATGATGCGTGACTAAAGCGTTTTTCAGATTGATGGAGAATGTGCTGTAGAAGGTTCTATATAGAAACTTGTTGAAAATGGTTCTATATAGCACCAAAAAGTGTTCTTTTATTGTTACGATGTCAAGCCTGTAACTATAGAAGAGCCCTTTTTAGTGCTATTTAGAACCCTTTTCTAAAAGGTTCTATACCTTCTACTGCACATTCTCCATCAATCTGAAGAGCCATTTCATGATGCAAAAAGACCCTTTAATCATGCAAAGGGTTCTTTGAGTGTTTATGATTCCATATGGATCCAGAAACCCTCAGACCCTTTTTTAAGTGTGCATGCAAGCGTGCGTATGGGATGAAACACCACTCTCTCATCTGACAATAGGCAGATGTCAGGCTTGCAACACTAGTAAAGGCTGTTGTTTTTGTGCAGTCCTTTTACTAGAGACATTATCAACAGAATAACCATAGAAACAGCCATAAAGAAGGTTAGTGTAGGCAAAGCTTGTTTGCCGTCGGGCTGATGAAACCCTACACATGGATGTATGTTTAGTCAGTGAGAATACACTTGCTTACGAACCAGCATATTAGACACAAAATATTAGCTTGGCTGTCAGGTTCTGGTTTTTGTCCTCAAGTAGACAGCCTGGTCTTACATGACTGAAAATAATGTCCAGAGGCCCCTGCAAAGACTCACCTATAAAGACTTTGCCTGTAGCAGGTATTCAGGTTTGGTTCAGGTGTGTTGGGAGCTGGGACAAAGCAGAAATGTGGATTATCTGGAGGTTTCCTCAGGACAAGATTGGGAAACACTGACCTACACAGAGGTATTAGCCACAGGGGATAGAGCAAAATGAGCCCCCAAAACACTTTTACCTAGATAGCGATTATACACAGTAGATCAGCACCTCTATATAAAATGGTACATATTATCGCTGCACAAGGTATTTGAAACATTGTAGTATATTGAAATTGTTTTTCTCCCTAAAGCACTATTGGTGCTGGATTAGAGGAGGTTGTGTAGTGTAATTTGTCAGGATTTGACAATTTGCTGATTTGTACAAGATAAAGAATTAATTGAATTCATCCAAATTCCATTATAATCACTCCACAAGTATTACTGTCACACTGTAAAACTACACACACTGCAGATTCATACTGGATTAAATTCACTCCACAGTTATTACTGTCAGACTGTAAAACTACACACATTTCAGATTCATACTGTATTAAAATCACTCCACGGTTATTAGTCACACCCACTGCAGATCCATACCAGCTTAAAAATGACCCTACAGTAGTTACTGTCAGACTGTAAAAAAAAAAAAATAAACACTGTGAAGATTCATACTGGATTAAAATCGCTCCAGAATAAATATGGTAAAAATCTGTGCAAATTGCAGGTTTGTGTCAGATGGAATCATGTATAGCTTCAGTAATCACTTACATTGCAGTGTAAAACTAATCCAGCTAGAATTGGGTTGAAGTCACCTAAATCCTAATGGCAAACAGTCATAAGCTTTAGGATTTTGTAATGGTTGTATTTGGGAAGGATGATGAACCCACAAACCCAAATATGCTCCAGCTGTGTTTCCCACAATAAAGACGTGTGCTCGAGCATATTATAGCATGTGGCCTTATCCTCCTTTTCAAGTATTACACCTCAGTCCAGCACCTGCCAAGTGGGACGTGTGTATGATTACTATGTTCTTTGTAAGGGTTAAAGCCATCACCCCTTTGTCTGTGTGCAGGGAGGAGTTGAGTTGGTGATGAAAAGACTAATATACATGCTCAACTGAGCGCTAAATTGAGTTTGCTGGAACTGAGGCATCTGGGACAGAGAACACTGATTGCGGCAGAGATATTCGTGAATAGAAATGAGTCATTGAGTCGAGCGCAAATGGTTTTAGAAGTTGACTGACTGCAGATGCGTTCATTCAAAGAGTTGGAGCTGAGTTTATGAAAACTGAGGACTTGCTCCAAACCATTCTTTCTAACAGTAAAAACTTCATGGTAGTTTACAGTTTTGCCGCTCAAAATGAGAACTGATGCGGTGCTAAATTAACATGCTTCATCTTTTCAGTGATTAGCACTCTCACAGTATCTGACACACACTGTAGAGTGGAGTGACATTTTCATGATGCCTCATCAAAGCCTCGAAACTCATTTCCTTGCCTTTGTTGTGCTTGATGACAATATGCAAAAACTCCATTGTCTTTCAGGCAGTTTAAATATTCAGGTGAATCATCCATTTCTGAGATATTTCACTGATTATACTGTAATCTGTATGCAGTCACTTTCTTATAATGAGCCATTTTAGCTCACCACCATTACCGGCACTTGACACCTTCTATTAGCTAGTTAGACTTGAAGAACTGTCTCTCTCCTTTCTCCCTACTTTTCACTTTTTCCTCTCTGGCTCTCAAGACACTCGATTGTGAAGGCCGCCTTAGATAGGAGGCATCTGCTGCCCGTCAGTGGCCTGCAGCCTCTGCAGAGCTGATTCACTGGGAGAGATCCAGATGTCAGTCAGACATACAGCAAACAATAAGCCAAAACTTCCAGAGAAAAAGAAATATTTCTTACTTTCCACCAACTCTGAAACGATGCAGTTTGATGGATTTATTGTATTGTTTTAGACATTCTTTGATATGAGTTTGATATAGTATGTAAACATTGTAAAAAATGTTAATTTGTGCCATTCAGTGTGCAGTCCAATGTATATAAACTAAGCTGCAAAAAACAGCCCATTTTGAATTCACTGCTGTCTTGATATCAGGAAAACCAACACATTTAAATATATATCCGCCTATTTAGCCCCACCTATTCACACTGAAGTTATAAGGAGTGTTTTAGCCTGGTCTGCTCTTTGAATCAAGCACAATACAGGACTGCTAATCAGAACACAGCTCATCATCTTAAAAGGCACAGTCACAACAACAGTCTATATAATACAAAGTAATGAAGAGAGGTTGAAAAATTGTCATATAAGAAGGTATAATGACTGTTTTTGGAAAATAAAATCACACAAATGTTTAAAGTGGATGTACATGAAAAATATAGGATATGGGCCCTTTAAAAAATAAAGGTGCTAGAAGGGTTCTTTGGAACGATGCCATAGATCATCCTTTGCCAAATGCAAACCAGACTAACCCAGTGTCTAAGGTGTTCTTGTCTATGAGAAAAATTAATTGCATTATGGAAAATTGCCTCTATCACACTCCATAGCTACATTTTGTCCTACATACATTTCCTCTCTGAATATCACTGTATCACTTGAATTATGAAATTGTTAAATAGTCAAAATAGCAAAATTTCTACATACATGCTACATGCAGTCTAACACTGATGTGTGCTAAACTTACATTATATGACTTACAGCCTCACCAAAATACCCCGCAGAATCAGCAAGCTTTTTCATGTGTGAAAGTTAAGAGATTTTGGCCATAGTAACCTACTGTTTGAGTTGTTGTTTTTATATAGCAGTGTTGAAGTAATGTGTAGTTACAGTTGTAGCTTAATTTTCACAAGACTTAATGATGTCAGTTAAATGTGCAGGAGTGTTAGCTTGCTTGTAGCATGTAAGTAGCAATATTTATATTTGTACTACTTAATAAACGCATTATTCAGAAAACCGGAAGACATTTTGGGAAAAAATGTACACGTGACACTTATCAACAATTGGTATGGAACATTTTTGTTTGCCACAGGATGTGATAGATACAATTCATTTCTCCAAGTAGAGAAAATGGCTTAGACTTTTTATAGTCCTTATATGGCAGGTCATTACAAAATGACACACAAGCTCAGGTCCATAGAAGAACCTCTAAATGACCTTTCTGTGGACAATAAATGAAGTGTAAATAAAGTGTTGGTGCATTTCTTTATTAAAGTGAGAGAATTCCCTACATATGTACAGTGGGGTCCACAAGTCTGAGACCTCTAGTGAAAATGCTTCTATTTTGCATTCTATTCTAATTTATTTTTCCAAGAACAGATGATATTCCCAGTATTTGAATGGTGTATGCTGGGAAAAAATGATGGATGAAAACACAAAAAAGACTATCTGTCAAAGTGATTTTAGGTAATTTTTATGCCCCTTCTAAAAACCTCCACATAATGCAAAGGCTCTGTACCAATTAAAGGCTTTTTGTAGAGCTGTATGTCCAGGCCAAAAATCATTTGGGAACTTTTACTGTCAAAAGTGCAGCAAGCCAGGTTAGATGTAATTAATTTTTCTGTAACTGTTAAGCCAAGGCTAAACGATTCTGCACTGAAAGCAGACAGAAGGTGGAAGTGCACTCTGCATTTTTCACCTTGAAGAAAAATTGAGTTTTCTTTTACAGCCTACATAAAGCGGTTACATAAGAGGAACGCAAGCAAGGTCAACACAGTTCGAGTCTTAAATACATAAACACAAGGTCAGACTACTCCATTTTCCTCATAATTCAGTAAGGCTGAAGTTATTGTGAAAGTTTTTCCTGTTTAGAGCAAAAGGCCCTCAGAGAAACAGATGGAGTGAATTCAGATCACAGCACTGAGGGCTGAACTGAATTCTTTGGTTGTTGTTCTGGGAACGGGAAGTGAGACAGACTTGAAACTATAGCGTGTTTATCAAAACTTTTGATGAGACAGAGAAATATGACAAAATACGTTCAGTGTTGTTTGTCACATTGATGGATGAATGCATGAATAGAAAGTGTATGAAAGCTGAAAAGCCCAGAGAAAGGAAACTGCAGTCTGCAGTATAACCACTGCACACCTCTGTTCTTTCTCTCTCTCTCTCTCTCTCTCTCTCTCTCTCTGTCTCTCTCTCTCTCCACAGCCCTCCTGAGACAGAGGAGTCGCCTGTAGCCTCCCCAGATCCTCAAAGACAAGAGTGGTTCGCCCAGTACTTCACCTTCTGACTTTTAGCAACTCAAGAGCATGTCAGCCAAACCAAAAAAAAGCAAAAGAAAAAGAAAAAAAAAGATATTCATCTTTACATCATTTCATCTGTTCTGTTTTTTTTCCTCCACTGTGAATGGGTCTCTTGTTTTTGTACAGTGCTAATAGGTATGTTTGACGTTGCATTTCATGCCGTTTCTACAGAGTGGTGCATATGCTGCTATTTATTCTTTGTTAAATACAGTATAGAGTAAACGTCTCTACGTCTCTTATTTTAGAATGGCACCGTAATGAGAGTTTGTTACAGCTGCATAACCACTTTTGGTAGAATTAAAACTGTTTGTATGGTTGTCTCAACACAGATACAATGATGTCTCACCAATTTTAAAAATAAAAATGCATATTTTATATTTATATTATACTGTATGTATGCTCAAAGAATAAATAATTATGGTGACATTTAAATCGGAGCGTGTCCTGGTCATTGTGCAGGTGAACTGGAGGACAGATGGATTTCTTTCTCACATCTAGAAAATGAAAAAAAGAATTTAGCTGACGAGAAAAAAATTCAGGGGTGACCTTTAGGAGCTAGGGGGGATTATTTTATTATTTTTTTTTCTCAAAAGTGCGTAGATGCTGCCTGCACTGGAGCCCCAGCCTCTGCACAGAGCCTACAGTATGTAAGTACACACACAGCATTTTTGAGGAAGAAGTCCTCTGAAGGTCAGTGAATTTCTGCAGTTCTGCCTGAAACTGCATCACTCAAAAGACACATTGTGCATCCAGTTTTTCAGGATTCTTCAACACCAGGTTCAGAACTTTTTGCTGATCTTTTGGTTGGCTATATTTTAAATATCCTTGGATTAAATACTTGATAGATATTAAACTCTGTTGATGTTGCTATAGTGATCTACGCTTGGATGTTACCATAGAGACAGTCCCTGTGCACTGGCAATACTCAGCATGAAAAAACAAGCTTTCTCTTGAAGGGGGATTCCACCAATTTTTCAAATTTTCTGCATAATTCACTTTGTTCAGATGTAAACAGAGTCATTCAGAGTGGTTTGATATGAGATGATTTATTGTAGAGAAACTTACAGACAGATTTCTTTACAGTGGTGGTGACAGGAACCAGGGGTCACAATGTCCAACACAAATGTAGCCATTTTATTTACTATTCAAAACCACCAGTGGACCTACACATCTTCTGAGTTTGTATATGTAATGTTGATTATGGTAAAGCTGTGGTAGATCTGAACAAAATCTGTTTCCTTTGGGGACTATTTTGCCTCACATGCCCTGCATGTACCAAGAATGGATGTTACAAATCATGTTTTAGAACCGTATCTCAAAAGCAACATAATGTCTCAGGCAACAATGTATTCATAACCATTTCATGTAATGACTTTCTGTGGCGGAGCTTTTAGAGGCATTAAACTCTTCAGATGTCTGGTTCCACCACTGTGAACAATTCTGACTCAAGTTAAGACTTCACATCAAACCGCTCTGATTGACTTTGTTTACATCTTAACCACTGAGTGATGCATAAATTGTGAAAACTGGCGAAATTCCACTTTAACAGCTCTTAAAATTGAAATCCACCCTTTGATCAAATTTTCTGCTTAATTCAATTGTTGAGATGAAAACAAAGTCATTCAGCATATTTGTTTAAGAAAACCACTTGTTCTTATAATTATTCTGATGAGAAACATTAAGAAATTAGAAAAAATCTTAAGAAGGTTTTTGAAGAATAATAATTTATCTCAACTTTTTTCTTAAGTGTGTAATAAAGAAAAAAAGACACATTTAAGATTTTCTTTTTTAAGACACTTTTGTGAAACTCCTCAGAATTGTTCACAGTGGTGATCAGACGTCTGAAGAGTTTAATGCCTCTAATTGCTCCTTCACCGAATGTTATAACATGAAATAGTTATGACTACTCAGCCTGGTGCATGAAACATTGTTTTACAATAGGTTTATTTAAACATTGTTTTTGTTGTTGCTGATGTTTGTTTGTTTTTTTTTCTTCATGGTATAGAGGTACATGCACTGCATTGTAAGTCAAAGAGTCTTTAAAGAAAACCTACTTTTTTCAGATTTACCACTATTTTACCAGTATTAGCATTATAACTGAAACTCAGAAGACACACTTAGTAAATAAAATGACCGGACTGTACCATCAGAGCTCCTGTGGGGGTAGAAGCGGCTCCATGGTGTATCGTGTGAACATTCTCAGCAGCACTAAGATTATATTAATATGCATTGCACATATTTCTTACCAGTTGTTGTCAGAATTGATCTCATATGGCCCAGAATGCATTTCATAGTGGTTTTGATTAGCGTTAGTGCAAAAGGAACACACGGAGCAGAGAGTTCAGTAATCTAGCGCCAAATCTGAAGTATGTCTACCAAAACAGACCTGAGTCAAATATGTTCCTGGGTTAAAGTTGTAGAAGTTGCACAAGGTCAGTATAGTCCTCAGAAATGTCCACTAGGAACTGAATTATATTTTATTCCTTATGTATTGTTAATGGGGTAACGTTAACTACGCTCAGCTTTTTATTTGCCAGCTTCTTGTTCGAATTTCCCGTTCCACCTTAAATGGTGCAGCTGTAAGACTTGTTGTATGTCACTGCTGCACCACTTACGGTGGGACGGGAAAATTCGTATAAGACGCTGACCAGCTCCGGTCACTGTATGCCACAAAAATAACGTTAGCTTGCTGCTGTGTAGTAAGACCAGTAGTAGATGTCTCCATTACTATTTCCATGCTAGAGTAACTGTTAATACTAAATGTTAAAGTTTCTTTGTGTGTTTTAAACACAGCCAAAGTGCGTACACTGTTAGAAATAAAGGTTTATTACACTGTTAGAAATAAAGGTTTATTACACTGTTAGAAATAAAGGTTTATTACACTGTTAGAAAAAAAGGTTTATTACACTGTTAGAAAAAAAGGTTTATTACACTGTCAGAAATAAAGGTTTATTACACTGTTAGAAATAAAGGTTTATTACACTGTTAGAAATAAAGGTTTATTACACTGTTAGAAATAAAGGTTTATTACACTGTCAGAAAAAAGGTTTATTACACTGTTAGAAATAAAGGTTTATTACACTGTTAGAAGTAAAGGTTTATTACACTGTTAGAAATAAAGGTTTATTACACTGTTAGAAATAAAGGTTTATTACACTGTCAGAAATAAAGGTTTATTACACTGTTAGAAATAAAGGTTTATTACACTGTTAGAAAAAAAGGTTTATTACACTGTCAGAAAAAAGGTTTATTACACTGTTAGAAAAAAAGGTTTATTACACTGTTAGAAATAAAGGTTTATTACACCGTTAGAAATAAAGCTTTATTACACCGTCAGAAATAAAGGTTTATTACACCGTTTGAAATAAAGGTTTATTACACCATTTGAAATAAAGGTTTATTACACCGTCAGAAATAAAGGTTTATTACACCGTCAGAAATAAAGGTTTATTACACCGTCAGAAATAAAGGTTTATTACACCATGTTAGAAATAAAGGTTTATTACACCGTCAGAAATAAAGGTTTATTACACCGTTTGAAATAAAGGTTTATTACACTGTTAGAAATAAAGGTTTATTACACTGTTAGAAATAAAGGTTTATTACACTGTTAGAAATAAAGGTTCTGTGCTGGTACATTTTTTGTTCATCAAGGTACAAACAATGTAAATGTTCCCTCAAAGGTACAACAGTGGTTATAAGGTCCAATTGTGAATCTTAAATGTTTTTCCAGGTGAAAAGTACAGATTCGTACCTTTTTATAATGTAATGTTTAAAAACAGAACAATAAAATGAAAAGCCTGGAGACGAGACGGGGTGTGTGGAGTCAATACAATTTAGAAAATATAATTTCAGTGGATTATGGAACAATTTTGTTCCCTGACTAAAGGTACTGAGATGTACCCTTGAGGGTCCTACCCTAGTGACAAGAGAGGAACTGCCCCAGTGACGGTTTACTACCTTTATTTCTGAGAGTGTATGTGTCTACCAAGTAACTATAAGGCTGGGATATGAGAAACGTAGTCTAATACAATTTCCAAGTTTAATAATCAGACCGTAATAACTCCACACACTGTCTTCTGTCTTGGACTCCGTTTGCCGTTTATGTTTTAATGTTCTGTTTTAAAACACTAGGCTATGAAAAGGTTATTTAAAGTTTGCAATTGGACCATAAAACCATTGTTGTACCTTTGAGGGTACATTTACACTGTACCTTCATTAACGAAAAATGTGCTTGCACAGTATCTTTATTTCTGACAGTGCAGGGATTAGAGATTAAAGTAGTCTCTCTCTCTGTGTACATATTTCTCTGCATGAGAAAAAGAGACTTGAGCTGTTTAACTGTCAAATAAAGTTAAAACATGCATGTCTGATTCGTATGAAGTAATTACTATGACTACCAGAGGAATGTATCATAGTAAAGACAAAAAGTGTTCATGTTGCTGCTGTTGCTGATGATTTGGTACTGATAGAAATGTACTATACAGGTGTCAGCGAAAGTTTGGATGCTGTGTGTGTAGTCTAGAGATTAACAGCCAGAAAAGTGCAGCATTTCTAAATTTGTAACTGACCCTTACAAAAAGCTGAACTTTTCTGTATTGCTGTTTTAATCTAGAACATTTCCTCCTGTACAGTATTCCTGTGGGACTGGCTTATTAGTAATGTGTAACATTTGTGTAGTATCGTGTAGTAACTGTGGTAATTGTACAGATTTACGAAAATGTACAGGGTTGTGGAGCACAGGAACCAATCCCCTCCAGTAAAATGAACCCACACTGTTTTCTCTGATGGGAACAAAGGAGATCCACTGTAGCGGAGATCTTCATAACTGGACATTGTATCCAGTTTCCAGCCTTGGGTTTTCTAATCCCTGTGAGTTAAATGAACTGTTGATGTAACTGATTGGGCATCTAGTGTCATACCTACCAGTGACTGCAAAATCCAGGACCACAATCTTGATTCAGGGTCTAGATTTGAAGACCAATAATGACTGAATGCACTATAATGATTTTATTTTTGTGAGAAGCTGATTTATTACATAATTACAGTGAATA